AGGAGGGAGGCACCAGACCAAGAGCCTGACTCTATTTTAGACTCGGAGGAAATCAAGGCACAGATCTGGCTCAAAATGGAACCCAATGACCAATTATTCAATGATATTTTCATGGCACAACAAGGCCTCTGGTCAGGCAAAACCCCTTCCAGGTAAAATGGTCCTCATCCTTGACTCACAATTAGAATTGCCTGGGGGAGCTTTTTAGGCAACTCTTTCCAGGGGGTTCCCAGCCCCTGAGACTGCAGCTGGTCAGGGTGGCCTGGAGCCTGGACGATTTTTAAATCTCCCCAGGGACTCTCATGTGCAGCTAAGGTGCACAAGCTAAGGTGCTTGGGGTCTTCCCTGATAACAAAGAATTCAAAGCCACCACTCAAACTCCTTTTATGACAGAATATTTCCTGCTACTAAAAGAAAAGCATGTCAGTATCACAAATCTTAAGTGAACATTTGTCTTAGGGAAAGTGAGTTTATTCACAGAGAAGAGTAAATGTTCTGATGATTAATATTTTCTGACTTAGCCTTTGGGCAAAGCTCTATCAGTCAAATATGCATTCATGTTTCAGACAACAGGAAAAGTGGTGTTTGTTTCTATTACCCTACAGAACTATGCTCGCCGTCTGGAAACTCACAGAATATTACTTGAGAACTCCTAAGTTTCTGGTGAGCTTGATGAGGACTGAATAAATGCGCTTATTCTAGGGAACCAACGGACCATGGCCAATGAGCTAAAGTGCATGCAATTACTGGTTCAAAGCATTGTTTTGCTTTCTCAGGAAAAAAAAAAAAGGTTCACAAAAGCAGAACAGTAATGGGATATGCTAAGCTAATATTTGTACAAAAGAAAATAATCTTTTTCTTTTTTTTTTTTTAGAGAGGGAGAGAGAGGGGTAGGGAGGGGCAGAAGGAGAGGGAGAATCTTAAGCAGGTTCCAGGCCCAGCGCAGAGCCCGACATGGGGCTTGATCGCAGGACCCTAAGATCACGGTCTGAGCTGAAATCAAGAGTCAAACACTTAACCTACTGAGCTGCCCAGACGCCCCGAAAATGATCTTCTTTTAATAAAAGTTGTCACTCATTTGTAATAGCGTGAATCTCTCTAATAATACTACTTGAAGTTAATGATGACACAGCTTCAGTTGTTTTTTAGATAAACATTTAACGAACACATTTATTGTAAATTATTACAGCACTGATGATGACCTGGCTGACAAACTACCTATCACACCTAACTGTTATGGTTAGAAAACGGCTTCTGACATAAATTCCCAAATGAAGTGGTGGTTCAGATCGATTTCTTTCTATCAGGACTGTGGTTAGAATAACAGGAACGTGGGGAGAGAAGTCTGGCACAGTCTTTTTCCTTCACATGGTCTGCCGTGGTCCGGATGTTTATATTCCCCCCCCCCCCGCAAATTCACACGTTGACATCCTAACCCCTGAAGGTAATGGTATGAGGAGCTGGGGCCTTTAGGGGTGTTCAGGTCACAAGGGTGGAGCCCTCGGGATGGAACCAGTGCCCCCCGCCCCCAGCCCCCTCCTCCCTTCCACTGCAGCAGGACGGAGTGAGAAATCTGCAAGCCCGGAAGAGGACCATCACCCGACCACGCTGGCCTCCAGAAGTGAGAAATAAACGTCTGTCGTGTTTATAAGCCACCCAGGCTGTGGTATGTGGTTCCAGTGGCCCTAACAGGCTAACCATCGCTCATCCAGGTGACCCTCCAAGGGACTGGTTCAGGAGGGGGGACAGCCAGCCCCCCAGCACAGGGAACTCCGTCAGCAACACAGTGAGCAGTCTGCCCACTCAGGGGTCAGACGACACCGACCTGAAGCAGGACATTTTCATTACACCACCCAAAGGTGGGATCAGGCGGGCCTTGAGGGAGAACAGCCTTGAAAATAATAAGGCTGCTGGAAGCCATACCTTCCCACCTAGAGGGATGGTTTCAGCGGAAGGAAAAATTCTTTTTACTGGAAGGCTCACCAAAGGCTCCCTCCTCACCCCCCCTCCCCCGCGCCAGTGATTTCTGCTCTCACTGCCCTGTATAGCAGAGCTCTTTGCCTCCGGAGCCTGCGACTCCCTCAGCCCAGTGAGTGTTGTGTCTTCACTGATTGTTTGACATCTTACGGGAGCTCAGGGTTGTGCAAGAAATGTTGCACAAAGCTCTCCGCCCCCTTCTGAAGCTCTGGACCCTCCAGACGGAGAAGACAGGCTCCAACTCCAACACCCCCACCCAAATCCAAACACCCTCATAGCTCCCCTAGACAACGAAAGGTGAGAGCTGCCTAAGGGGCCTGTCTCCTTGCCTCCTCTCTTGACCACCCACCCTCCTTCCCCAAGAGACAATTCTCCACTCCGCTCTCCTGTTAGAATAACATCCCAACCCCTCTGAGGGCCACCAAGGCCCCCCATGGAACCATTCCCTGGCTGCGTCCAACCTTAGCCACCCCCTAGCATCTCTCACTCGGCCATGGCCATGAGGCGCCCTTCACGCCCTCAGTCAGTTCGCCACTAGCCGAGAACTTCTGGCTTTGCTGTTCCCTCCTGTTCCCTCTGCCTGGACGCCGGCCACACAAAATCTACGCAAGGAGCTTCCTCCTGCCAGCCAAGTCCAAGCTGTGCTGGAAGATCTTCTGGGGCCACTCACTCTACAGTGGTCCCACGCTGGCCCCTCTCTGCATGTCCTCCTTGCCTGCACTGACCCCAGGGCCATGCACTGCCCTCTCTACCCTTCTCTGGGCTCTGGAAGGCTGACCCCACCTATGGACTGCGCTGCTTGGGCTCCCTGGCCTCCTGGCTACCAGCTGGGTTCCACTAAGGAGACCAGAAAGCCAGGGCCAGTGGGGGATGTCCCCTCCCTGCCACTCCCTGCACCCCAATCCCACCCATTCACTTCTGCAGCTCCAGCCCGCCAGCCTAGGACTCCACCAGTACCGCCTCCTCCCCTTGATCCAACACCCCTGGCTGACTCCCTCAGTCCTGCCCCGATTCACCTGTTCTTTACTAACTCGAACCACCACCGTGTCCCCCTTAGGATTGGTAGGGCTCTGCCCCTGTCCTCTCCTTGGTCACCCTCTAGCATATCAACCTATGTTACTTTCTCCACTGTACTTGTTCACTTATTTTTCTCAGTTATCGGACCCCTCCTCAACCACTAGAGCATAAGCAGAAAGCTCATCGTGTTCACTGCTCTACCCCGTGGGCCTAAGACAGTGCCTGGGACATAAGAAGCATTCCACACACAGCAAAAGAATAATAAAGGACTGAATGCTAAGCCCTTGGTCTCTGCTCAACATATCACCTTGTCAGTAAGCTCTTCCCTGATCATCTAATATAAAACAGAAACAGCAATCTCCCTCCCCTCCCAGACCCCCACTCCCTCCTCCCCTATCTTTTCTGTCTTACTTTTTCCTATAGCAAGATCACCTCCTGACACATTTAATATTTGTTGACAGTCTGTTGCCCCAACAAAAAGGTCAGCCCCTCAGGCAGGGTTGTGATGCCACTCACTGCCATCCCCTCAGAGCCTAGAATGGTGCCTGGCCCAGGCAGAGTCTCAAACATTTGTTAAAATGAACAGCTAGCAAAGTGGACCAAATTGCACACAAAGCAATTTCAGGAATGTCCCCAGCACTTACTGGGAAGACGTAAAACTATGAATTGCTAGACACCCCAGTAAATAAGCACAGCCTTACACGACCTGACCCTGCTGCATTAGAAAGACCGCCTCAGACCCCTAGGAAAGAGACTCAATGCGCTGGCTAGACTGTGGCCTCAGGAAGAGAAAAGGTTTTAGAATACAATGAGGGAGAGACCCTGCATTTATAACGATTGTTGCTTTAGAAAGCATGCACAGTTTACCTAAGCACACAGCCATTGTAAATCCTTTCTGAAAGCGGATGCGCACATAAATTACAAATAAATGGGACGAAAGCACACCATTCTCTGTTCCACAGTGGTGTTCCTCTTGGCAGCAACCTTCAACTACAAGTTCCTTGACAGTATACGCAGACCCAGAGCCAGGCATGGAAAGCATCAGCTGCTCTCCTCATGAGGCCTGTCTCCCAAAGACAGGCTTTGTTCTGCAATGCCTACGTTGTCCAAATTTTATTCTGCACACTAATTGCCGATTTGAAATAAACTCCTCCTCCCCTCCACCACCATTGATTACTCATATCTGCCCCCTCAGCCTCCTAAGATTCTAAACTGGGTAGATTAAAAAAAAAAAAAAATCAGCTCCTCATGTACTGAGTGTCCCGATGGTGGCATGTCACCCCTTCAGGGAGCAAGATTCCTGACTATTCTGAAGGCCTAGAGAATGGGTCCCTTCCCCCCAACACCATTCGACCAAAACTGGCCAGCCACAGGATAATGAGCAACCACAGATCCTCACCCAAACATTGGCTTTTCTTCCAACAGTGCAGATTGAGAAATGCAGAGACGTTGTCCTATTTATGAATAGTGAGTCACGTCGCCTTTCCACGTCTGTTTCCTGCTCCCTATGAATGAGAGGAGCCCCTTCCCCAAAGGAGAAGTGCAGAGCGACGGTACATGCTCCAGGGGCGGCAGTGTGAGCTCCCGGCCACTCCGGTTGCGAATTCATCCCCTGACTGTCCCTTACTTCATTTCCCCCACCCCTACTCTCCCCACCCGAGTAGACACCCAGGGGTCGGAGCGTCCCCGGGAGGCGGTGACCAGCCACCGTCAAAGGCGAGGCGCTAAGAGCTCCTGCGCCGGGTGCGTGCGCGGCCCGGCAGGTGCTCAGGGACCCGGGACCCTCGGGGAGCGCGCCCACGCCCCCGCCGGGCCAGGAGTGGACCGCTGCAGGGCGGCCGGGGGCGTCGCCGCGTCCCTGAGGGTCGCCTACCGGCCCCGCCGGCGGCCCGGGCTGGAGAGGCTGCCGCGGGCCGGCCAGGACCTGCGCGCCGCGACCCGCGCCTCCTCCTCCGGGCAACAAGTGTCCGCCCGCCGCCCGACGGCCCGCCCGGCCCGGTCCTCACCCGGCACAGGCCGTCCACGAACACGCGCGGGTCCAGGTGGCAGGCGATGGTGGCGCTGGGCAGGTCCTGCAGGTCCACCTCCTCCATCTCGCAGTCGATGAAGCTCCAGTCGCCGCCGCCCTCGTCGGCCTCGGCCGCCCCCGAGAACGGCGCGAAGGGCCGCAGCGTCACCCCGGGCTGCGCCCGCGACTCGGCCGCCTCGGCCGCCGCCCGGAGCCGGGGCCCGGCCACCGCGTCCTCCATCCCCGCGCCGGAGCCCGCGCGCCCCCGTGCGCCCCCGTGCGCCCCCGTCGGCTGAGCCGGCCTCGAGCGCGCGCTCTTCGCGCTCTCCCGCCCGCCGACTCGGCGGTTAACCCCCTCCGGCTCCCGTCGCAGCCGGCAGCGGTCACCACGGCTCCCCCCGGACGCGGCCTCCGCGCGCCGGCCCCGCCCAGCCCCGGGGGCGGAGCTCGGGCGGACTTAGCGGCGGGCCCTTTAAGGCCGGCCCCCGCTGTGTTATTGTATCCCGCCCTCCCAGGAGAGAAAGCCAATAAAAGAACGGAATTCTCCTCACGTGATCCCCACTCTGCCGCCCTCAGTCCGAAGCCTCAGGGTGGCCATGCTGGTTAGGGGCAAAGGCCTCTTCAGCCAGTTCCGCTTTTCCGACAGCTGGTGTCAGCTGAATGGCACCAGTCAGTGTCTTGGGCGCCCGAATGATAGCTGCAGAGGCAGAGCTTCTCTGGTTCCCAGGCGGTGACGCTTTGAGGCACAAAGGCCAACTTTGGGGGATTTAAGCGAGATCCAGTTTTGGCTAAGGCTCCGTGGCCGTTGGGGGGGGGGCGGGTAGGGGCTTACCGTATATCATCACATATAGTCGCAATAAGGATTGAACTAGACCGTGACGACAATACCTTACTTTTATATTTCAGCGTATTAGTCATTATATCATTGTTCAAAATTTATATAATCAAAAGTAAATTGAGTTGCCGCTACGCTATGTGCAAATGGAGTTAACGAAAGGAGCAAAATACTTGTCCCTACCTTTCGGAAACTTATAGAGGGAAAGCACAAGTTCTCAAATAAGCCTCTCTCTCCCTGCGTAATGGATAGAATTGCTTCACCGTGAAAGACAACGCGATGCAGTGAAAACTTGGGTCTGAATTTCAGCTTTGCTGTTAATTATTTGGATGAGTAACCTGAATCTTAGTTTCCTTACCTGAAAAATGAGGTCGTATATGGTTGAGTCCAGTAAGGGCCCAATACATGGTAACTCTTGTTTCTGTGTAGGGTTCTTTGGAAGGTGTGAAATCAGACCTGTGTTTTCTCCTAAAGTGGGCTTACCCAATTTAGCTAAGAACTGTAACTGAATATAATAAAAAGTATATCCAGCTAATAGCTGAGATTTATTCAGAACATATCCGTGTGCTGCGGTTCCCATTGTGACAATCTCCCAGGGGTTTGTGGCCACTAGGAGCTTAAATCCAAGTGCAGTAGTAATATGCATGCAGAGATGAATCAAGAAATGTAGGAACCATCATGGCTGGTGGGGATGTAAAATGGTGCAGCCACTTGGGAAAAACAGTCTGGCAGCTCCTCAAAAAGTTAAACATAGAGTTACCCCGGGACTCAGCAATTCCTCTCTAGGTATGAACCCAAGAGAAATGAAAACATATGTCCACACAAAACCAATACTCAAATGTTCATAGCATTGCTATTAAAAATAGCCCCACCGTCCTGAGTGTGGAGCCTGCTTAGGATTCTCTCTCTCTCTCTCCCTTTGCCCCTACCCCCTGCCCTCCTGCTGGTGCTCTCTCTCCTCTCTCTCTCTCCCTAAAAATAAATAAATAAAACAAAATAAAAATAGCCCCAAAGTGGAAATAACCCAAATGTTCATGAACAGACGAATGGGTAAGCCAGATGTACATCCATACAATGGAATATTATTCATTCATAAAAAGGGATGATGTTCTGATACACACTACCACATCATGAACCTTGAAAACATCAAGCTAAGTGATAGAAGCCAGTCACAAAACACCACATACTATATGATCCCATTTATATGAAATGTCCAAGATAGGCAAATCCACAGGGACAGAAAGTAGATTAGTGGTTGTCAGGGACTGGGGGAGGGGAGAAGATGCAGTAAGTGCTAAAGGGTATTTTTTTTTTTTTTTTGGAGGAGGGTAAAGAAAATGTTCTAAAATTGGAATGTGGTGATGTTTACACAACTCGGTAAATATACTAAAAGTCACTGGATTGTACTTTCAAGAGCGCATTTTATGGTATGTAAATTATATCTCAATGAAGCTAGTCTTTACGAAACAGAGAACATGCTAAAGACCACAAGGGGTTAGATGAATTGTGGCAGAGTAGGTGACACTGCAGAGTCGAAAACTCTCTGTAAACTTGGCCAGACATTCTGAAAAGGGTAACAAAGGGGATGAGGCACCAGTTTTGGAAAAAACAATACCCAGGCAACCCGTTGCTGGGTGGGTCCCTGTTATCATCACCCTTAGGACAGGACACTCTTTCAATCCAGGCTTAGCCTAAGCTGCTTAGAGCAAGCAGAGAGGGCCAGGGGACAATGCATGTGAGCGGGAAACGCACCAGGAAAAAGAAACCTAAGATGCACACAGAGCAGGCCATCACAGCTGGCCAGTTGCTGAGGTAAGAAGAGAAAGGCACAAGTTCAACCTCAGGCAAGTGGTAAAGACAGAGTTACCTGTCACTGGCTTAGTCATTACTAAGACGCACAGTCACACATTCCCTCAGTGACTTTGGATTCCCACCACCGTCTCTCTCCTCTCCCTCTCTAGGCAGCAAAGTAAAGACGGTGACATCTTTTCCTAGTTGTCTGTGTGATCCCAATAATAATACCGATTTCATTTGGGTAGCTTTTAATTTAAGGGTGTACACATAAACCAGCTCACATAATCCCCACAAACAGGTATTATCAATCCCAGTTCTTAGAACTGAGGCTCAGAGATTGAATGACCCTCCCACAAGCAAAGAGGTAGCAAATGGCAAAGCAGAGCACCAACTCTGCTCTCGTCCTGAGCCGTCTCTGCCCCTTGGGACACTAGGAAACAGAACAATGGGAAGAAACCAAAGAAAAACAGTGTGGAAAAGGAGAGGAGAGGGAAAAACAAAGAAGAAAAGAAATGGAGGGCTGGGAGAGGTGGGAATTTGAAAGCAAAGGAAAGAGGTGCTTGAGGTTCAAAACGGGGGGCAGGGTGATGATCCTAAGAAAGGGCTCACTCTCAGGTACTCAGGACTAGCACTGGGCGTGATGTTTGAGAGAGAGCTCTCAAAATATCAGAGCGAAATGACGGAATCTCTCAATAATTAGGATTAACATCACCCCCTCCTCATCTAGGGGCATGCCTGGGGTTCTTGCCCTATTGCCGGCAGAATACTTAGTCATAAAATGTCCGATTCTTCCTTCCACTTCGAAAATAAACTTTTATAGTAACTGCCATCTTCGTCATGCCTTATAAATTTAAGAAAGGCAGACCCCCGTGTCTTATGCTTTCACTGACGCTGACGCTAACCATCAGTGGCCTTTCCCAAGGAGGGAAAAAAAAAACAGAGAAAACGTGCTGTCAACAGCACAGGTGGAAACCAAGCCCAAGATGCTGCTTAACTTTGATTGCAGACCTTGTTAAGGGTGAAATCCATTAAACTTGGGGGCAATCTTTTAAGAGCTGTTCTACCATCAAACAGGTACAAAATTCCTAACATGTCCTTTGGGAACCGTTAGCTGTTCCTTTTTCCAACTGTGGGGATGGAAGCCAAGACTGACTCCTGCTTCCTGGTTGGGCATCTAGGAGAGAGCCTTCCCTTTCCCTTGGCTTGCAGGAATAGATTTGATCCAGATGTTCAGATACCCCGAAGGGAAAGGAACCAACGTGGGTAAAGAACTACTCTCAGAGACTCTCTCTTTTTTTTTTTTTAAATGAGGGGAGGGACACAAATTTTTTTTTTTAAAGATTTTATTTATTTATTCATGAGAGACAGAAAGAGAGAGAGAGAGGCAGAGGGAGAAGCAGGCTCCCAAGGAGCAAGGAGCCCGATGCGGGACTCGATTCCAGGACTCCAGGATCATGACCCGAGCCGAAGGCAGATGCTCAACCATCTGAGCCACCCAGGCGCCCAGGGACACAAATTTTAATTAATATATCCTACCATTTCCCATTCATTTTCCTCCCCTAACTCCTTCCTCAACATCGGCCATTGTAATTACCGAATGAGAGAAGAGATGCCCAGAAAGCCACATTTGGTTATTTTTGTTCTTAGCATCTGTCTCTTACATTTAATGCAGCCCAGTTATGCAAACATGCCTCTGCCCGGAAAAGCCAGCCTATTCATTTGCCAGGTGGGAAAGTTTCATTGGATGACACTTTCGATTGCTTTCTATTTTGTTCTGGAAATTGAAGGGGGCTGCGTGCAGTAGGCACTCGCTGAATGCTTATTAAATGAGCCAACGGCATTTCTGCACACTCGAGAAATTATAGACATTTAAACATTTTATTTAAGATAAAAGGCAAATAGCTGACTTTATGAGTGTTTGCCATTACAAAGGATTAACTGTTCCAAAGGCTGCTCAAATGAGTAAACCCCTCAAATATGTCATTTGAAAATTTCTATTTTGTTACCTTCCATAAAACAAATAAAAATATATGCTGTTTTGTTGTTGTTGGTTGCTGTTTTGGCTTTCTTTTTTCTTTTTTTAGGGAAAGGAACTTTTCCCCCTGATCAAGCCTAATCAAGTTTCATTCTTAAAATCCACTTTTAGGGGCACCTGGGTGGCTCAGTGGGTTAGGCATCTGCCTTTGGCTCAGGTCATGATCCCAGCGTCCGGGGATTGAGCCCCTCGTTGGGCTCCCTGCTCAGTGGGGAGTCTGCTTCTCTCTCACCTTACTCTCTCACTCACTCTCTCTCTCTCTCTCTCCCTCTCAAATAAATAATAAAATAAAAATCTTTTAAAAAATTAAATTCCACTTTTAAAATCCCTGTTATTTTCTATGGTCTTCTGATGCTTCTTAAATCAGAAAGCTTGAGTTATAAACTGGGTTTTGAGAGAAATATTGGAATTTGGTTCTTTTGCCTTTCCAAGTTTAGAAAGTTCACTGGCTTCTCTATCATCCTAAGTTGTCTTTCAAGGTAGCTGACACCTGTGTGGTTTTTAGGTGAGTTGGGATTCTTCCGGTTGCAAGTAACCAAAACCTCTGGAGCCAGTTTAAACAGGAGAGAATTTAAAT